AAATCAAAAGAGGGGATTGTGATAAAAAAATTTTATTTTGTAGTACGTAATGTTATACGTAAAAGGTTTGCTAGTAGAACTATTACTTTTTAATTGACATTCAAGAATTACTGACTCAAATTAAGCTCTTATTTCTTGCTAAAAAGTTACTTTTAAATCAGTTTGATCTTATTTAAAATATAATAAGATTATTTGCACTAAAAACTTGACAAAAATACTTTTGCTGTTGGAGTGTTAATCCCAGATGTTTAATTTCTGGTGTCTTCTTCCAGCCCTCTGACACAGCGCCCCCTAGTGACGGCTCCTCAGATGCAGCCAAGGCAGAACTGGAGAACCGACTGGCGGCTCAGACGGCGGAGATGGAGCAGCTGAAGGTGTGATGATCGGACCTTTGTCTTTCTCTCCGTGTGAATCAGCCGCCGCCGCGTCTCTCCTACCGTCTCTCTCTTTCTCCTCCTCGGTGCTTATTCAGGAGAATCGATCAGGACTGGAGCAGCAGCTGGCGGCGGCCACCAGCACGGCGGCCATCTTGCAGACGGAGAAGGCCAAGCTGCAGACGGAGGTCCAGGAGTCCAAGAAGGAGCAGGACGACCTGCTGATGCTGCTGGCGGACCAGGACCAGAAGATCCACAGCCTCAAGCAGAGACTCAAAGACCTGGGAGAGACGGTACGGAAACATTCACTGGAGGTCAAACAAGGTCAAAAAACTTTACTGGAGGTCAAACAAGGTCAAACCTTTACTTCCTTCCTTCCTCCCTCCTTTCCTGTTTTCTTTCCTTCCTTCCCTTCCTTGATTCCTTTCTCCTCCTTTCCTTCCTTTCTGTTCTTCCATCCTCCATTCTTTACATATTTTCTGGGTTTTTCTCTTCTTTCTTTCCTTTTTGTTATTTCTTTCCTAGTTTTGTTAGTTCCCTCCTCACTTCCCTTTGATTCCTTCCTTTCTTTGTTTCTTCCCTCCTTTCTTTACATCCTTCCTTGTTTTAATCTTCTGAGAAGTTTCTCCATCAGTGTCTTTAACCAGAAACATGAATCTCTGTCACGACCTCCCAGGGGTCAGAGGTCGCCGTCTGACCCGGCTCTGTTCTGTCTGTTTGCTCTAGTTAGACTGTGGCCCTTCCCTTACAGGTGGAAGATGAAGACGACCTGCGGGACCAGACCTCTGACGAAGATGACGAAGACGAGGATTAGAGAGGAAACACTACAGAGAGAAGAAGAGACTTCCTGCCTGAGAACCGGAGGACCGGCTTCGCGCTCGCCGATCCGGTTTCTCCTCCCGGCTGCCATGTTGTCTTCGTTTCCCCGTGTGTTGAGTTTCTGGACGTTTCTGTGTTCAAGCTGAGGTTCTTCTCAGAGGTTTAAGCTCGTCAGTGCGTTCATCTCCACAGTGTTCCCCCGTCGGCATTTTATTTTATTCTGCTGTTCTACGTTTTCTAATCACAAACACAGAGTCTAGGTTGATTTTAACATCGTTTGAAGTGGGAAATCGGCTGTGGAGTTTGGAAAGTAGCACACTTCACCTGGATTTCCTCCATTTCTTCTCGACGGCTAAACCGCTCTACGATATGCTGCAAAACACTGAAAAACATGTAAAGACCACAGAAAATAAGACGTATTTTTTCAACTTTTTGTGCAGTTCTGGCATCCAGCTTCTGTATGATACTGTGTAACTTATCAATTTAAGAGCCACATTGAAAAGAATTAATAATCTATCTGTATGCCGTATGGAAAAAATATTTGTAGATAAATTAAATTTTACTAAATCTACAACCCAAGACATTTTGTGTTTGTTTTTCGCTGACTTTTCTGGGAAGGTAAATTTATTTACAAGGCACCTTTCAGTCAGATTGCTTTACAGGAAATTAGAATAGAAATATCCTTTATTAGCTGCACTTCCATTACAAACATCCTCAAAACTTTGTCAATAAACATAATTTACATTAAATAAGAAACACAATTAAAGCCACTTTAACGGCAGTCAGAAGTAAAAATGCATTTGGTGAAGTCTACTCAAGTACTGAGTAACTGACTAAATGATCAATTATTTGATATTTATAAATTACATAATCAAACAGACCAACATATAAAGTTAAGTGGAAATTTTGGCATGTTAAGGACCAACATGACAGTAATTCATATAGGTAACAAAAAAGAACAAAATTAGACAATTTTTTTCCAAATCAGTTTCTTTCAATAAAAACTTATGAAACTTTAATAAAAAACTGCAGGTGTGTGTCTGAGTCTGCTGAAAGTTTAGTTACAACACGTTTGTTTTTCATTCAGTGGGCAGAAAATAGACATTTTACTCAAGTAAGAGTAGAGATACTTTATAATAAAATTACTCAAGTTAAAGTAAAAAGTACAGAGTAGTAAAAATACTCCTAAAAGTACTTTTCCCCCTAATTAACACTTTACTAAATCAGAAATTAATGTTTTTATGTCAATATTAAAAACTCTGCAACAGAATGCCCTTTAAATTGAAAATATTTTAATTAAAATGCGAGTAATCAGCATTCTCTCTTTTTAGATGAATTCTTCTGTAATTGCGTTATTTGGTCAGAAGGGGGCGTCAAATATCCTGACAAACATCCTACATGACTTCATATGTTGTTCACATTAATATGAACGTTCAAAACAACGCTAATGATAAACTGGTTCCACCTACAGTTAAGATTCAAACATCCTGGTTCTACATTACGTCATCGTCACGTGAGCGTCTCCGACCATTCAGATGTCTGTGATTAAAAGGTGAACCAGCTGGAAGGTACAATATTATCCATGCAAATAATGTGACTCGACACGTCAGCATTTCATCACCGATCGGCTGAACGTGAAAGATCCAGATCACAACACACTGAATAAAATAAACATCCATATCCACTCATACGGAATCTAATCACAGTCTGATTAATTTAAGATCCAAAACAATGGATCGATCAGCCGCATGCAGTCAAGCTAAGGTGTAAACTTTGCAACAATCACTGTTTTCTGTTGACTGTCCGGTGCGGTCGGTTTGATTGGGGATCGAAGTTGCAATATTTATGTTTTCAGCTGCTGCGGTTCACTTTCACACGGTGCCCTCCCCGCCTGTGGTGGCGCTGCACCAAGAACTGCTCAAGGAAACAACATAAAAAGAAGACACTGAGCGCATCTTCCTCCTTCACAAAATGTAAATTAAAACGGAGTAGAGTCCGAGTTTAGCGATTGTAGGATTTCTCTTTTGTCCTTGGTACAAGAGCAGAAGTCATTTCACTCTCTAGTGGCTAGCGCGTTTGTTTTGGTTGTATTTACCCAGAATGCCCTGCGTTTCAGGCCGCCTCCTGCTTTTGGAGCAGTCTGGTCAACTTGTTGTTCTCTTATGCATTCGAACCGCACCAGAGTTCACTTTAACCAATCTGAGACCAAGGTTTGTAGGAAGAGCAGAGTCCACTTGCACATTCACACCTCCATAAATGAACCGGAATTTACAGACAATGATTAAACTGGACTGGTGTGAATAAACTGTATAGCCTCATTTAAGGGCTTTATCTAGGCCAAAAATAGATCTTAACTGCTGGGGCAGGCAGGGGCGTCACAAGGTTTTAAGGACAAGGGGGGCTTAGCCCTCAGGAGATGCAGGTCAAAGAAGACAAAGAAGTAAATCTCCACTTGTTAAAGACTGTGCAAAAATATTTTTCTCATCTAATATTTTAAAATGATTGTGGGGGCTATGAGTGTTAAACTATTTTTGACAGTCCTGGACCTATTGCGCCTTCGACCTGATTTTGGAGGAACATAAGACAATGGATGGATGGTTTCTAATCATCATTTGTTTATTATGCAAAAGCATATTTAAATAAATTGTTCCACCTGATTCCTTAAAATCAAAGCTCTTGTAAGGATTGTTATAAAAATATTATTGTTCAATATATTGTTATTTTTTTCTTGGTAAATGTTGCTATTGACTTCATCACAATTTACCAAAAAGTTATGAATTTTCTGAAATACAACTCCTTTTGAGTCAGTTTTAGTTGTTCTTACTTTTTAACCCATTGGAAAAATAGCTTTGACACTTACTGAGGTTTATTTATAACCCTTTGTACAAAATTAATGATTCAAGAAAATGGCTTTCCCCGCTCATATTTCAATTTATGCAAAA